TTTTTTTTTTTTTTTTTTTTTTTCACAAAAACGCCTCCTGCAGTGATAGTGGTGCTGATACGAGCAGACACCACTACACCTCGGGGGGGGGCTCCATCTATTGGTGGGGAGCATCACCTGCTGGAAAGCGGGTCCAGCGTCCCTTGTTACAGAATGTGTTTGAAATCAGTCTGAAGGCCTGCCAGCATTGATTACCCTTGACTACAGGGGACCCTAGATACGCTAAAAACCCGAAAATGGAACAAAGTTGCGACGAGAAAAATATCCTCCAATCGCGGGCATCAATCCCCACAGAACCTTCGGATCGATGAGAAAAGAAAACCAAACTGATTCCTAACTCATCTAAGCAACGCACGTAGAATAAGATTAGAAGGAAAACAATCAACCAGAGAGAGTATGAGATGATTGGATGGGAAGGAGAAAAGGAGTAAGGCGCGGACACGTGTCGTCTCGATCTGCTTCCTGGGAACTCCTCCGCAGCACACGAGTAATCGGGCGCCTCCACCACACCGCGAATCAAGCGGTCGTTAATGTGCTACGCAAAGACGATGAATCGACAATGCTTCAGCCGCGATAGTCGAGTGCAAGGCTCAAACCAGTGTGTGCATGTAAGGAACTCAAGACGTCGGCATCTCACGACACAGATACAAAGTAGAGCCACATGTAGAAGAGAAGGTCAGAGGTGGAGAAAGCACGACACAAACAAGCGCATAGCGCAGAATAATGACTCGCTTCCGAAAAATGTATACAAAGATCACTCAAGAAGCGAGGATGGCGATAGTCCCGACATGTTTCGGCCACCTCGCCGAAGTGGCCATCATCAGGGGATCGCTGCGCTTGTGAAGATACTAGTCCTACTGGCATAAGTACTCGAAGAAGACATTCTGAGAAGAGCCTTCCCTGTTCTATGTGCACTCCGCACATCCTCATCACGGCATGCGCCATACCGGTTGATGATGAGACTAGATCAGGAGACAGCACGGAAGGCGGGAAAAACTGGAATAGCAGAGAGATCAGAGGATTTTGAAAATACGGGGAGATCCAGCCACATGGATAGGGAAGAGGGGAAAGGGACGTAGGGCAGACAGAGAACAGATCAGGAGATGGTATGGGAGAGCGGGAAGGATGATGGAAGGGGATCCTCGTCATCGAGGGCAGGGAGATCAGAGAATTTTTGGAAAAGGCGGGGAGATCCAGCAACAAGGGTATACAAAATGGGCCTTCGAGCAAGAGGACAGAAGATTCAGAACAGAGAAGGATTCAGCAGCGCCTGGATACGGGCAGGTTCACGCAGATGCTGAGAAAATGCCGACGCAACCCACCTCAGAACGCGTGTTCGCTGCAGTCAGTACGGTGTCGTCAACAGATCTGTCAGCCGGATAGAGCAGAAGATGGTGTCTTGGCTTGGAAGAGATCTCTACTACTGCCCCATCGAAAAGGACAAAGTGACGTGGAACCAGCGCACGAGGCCAGATCAGAATACTCGTAGGCAGGCCTAAAAACACTCCTGCATGGTCTTCAGATGAGAACGTACCCCTCCTGTCGGGCACTCCCTCGGGCAAACTGTGGTCCCACAGAACAAGGCATACTCAGATATCCCACGGACTGCCTACAGAGACCTATTAAAAACACGTTCGGCCTTCAAGCCTTCAGAAAAAAATAATACCCATTTATCCCAACACCCTTCGTGGCCGGTTGAAAAATCGGTGAGTGCCTTAAGGAATAAACGCCTTGGAAAACCCTTCAGTCTGAGTTCTCGCCTTAATGCTAGTTCAAAAAAAAGGTGAGGTGAGAGAAAAATGTATGGCTGTCTCTGGATGAGGAGAAGGCAGCTTACGAAAAAAAAGAAACCCTCTATGTGACGAACCTGGTTCTTCTCAAAAAAAAGAAAAGAAAAGAAGAATAAAGTGCTACGCAACGCCCTAGCTCAGTTGGTTAGGCATGCAAGTGACATTCAGGAGGTTGTGGGTTCAAGCCCCATGGCCGCCTGCGGCGCACTTAGTGCCAACGGACTGTGATAGTCCTCTGGATACCCCTGATCGGTATTAGCGGGGTCTATGACCAACACGGGTGTGAGTGTGAGCGCGAGTGGGTTGTGTGTGGTGTGTGGGAGAGTGTTGGCCATAGCCTCTGCAGCTACTCTATGAAGGGTGGGGTACGATGAGAAAGGGAGGCACAGCTACTGGCAGGTCTCAGTCTTTGTGTTAGCCAGACCCCCACTGGCGGCCCCAACCCTATACCCTAACCATTAGGGGCAAGGGGCAACATGAAATCTCCCCTTCACAGAGAGAGGAAACTATGCTAGCAGGGGTCCCCTCTAGATAGTCTTAGGAGTAGGTAGTGGAAGGCAAAGAAACAGAAGTTGAGAGAAGAATATAGGGAAAAAAAAAAAAAAAAAAAGCTGAAAAACAGCTACCTGACAAAGTAAAGAAAACTGAAAAACGGGCCATCTGCGAGTATTGGCCTCTCTCCACTGCTCACCACATGCACAGACGACAAAAATATCGCGGTGTATCTTCCCATGTTCTACCGGGAGATTCATTCTCATTTGCACATATTGAGTAGAGGGGGCAGTGGATTCTTGCTATGTACTTGTATTCAAATATCATGGCGCGCAGCAGTGGCATTTCCTTGGGCCCATCGCCCTGTCCTGACCGTTTTCCCAAGACTCGCAGCCGGCCCCACGCCAGAAGCAGCTTACACTTTAATAGGAGTATAGATATAGATATAGATTCCGTGCCCTTCTATCCTGGGGGGAACAGTCCTGTTCATCCTGGCGGCAGGGGCAAGCAACTTTTATAGAACCTTAGATTTAGGGCCTCTTTGCGCTACCCAACATTCCACATGCATCTGGGTGACCACAGAGTCCACATTCATTTGGACTGACCCAACATTTTGAATGTTTAGGAACCACTTAAAGGTACATATACATTTCCACTGTTTTCCGTGGATAGAGGCCATACAACAGTGGCCCTCCATTATCGCTGAGAAGGCCTGGCACACGTTCTCCCGCAGGGAGACAGGGGGGCTGGTCCCACCTCCATCTTCTCCCCAACATAACCCACCCTCATCATGACTACGTATCACACATGAAAAATAGCTTGTATACATTCATTATGACTGTCACCGTGTCACTGTGTGTGGTTTGTCCTGGGAAGAAGACAGTAGCAATGTGATGGGTCGCAACTCTATCATATGTGGCACCAGCGCCACCTATGCTACTATATAAGATCGGAAGGCTCTGACGGGCACAGATCGGGGGTATTAAAAGGGGCAAAGGGGTCTGACGGGCAGACCGTGGGGCCCTAAAAATGGCAGAGAAAGTTGTCAGTGGTTATCATGGTAAGGGGCAGAGAAGCTCTTACCTCTGACGTCTGAAGCGCCAATCAGAACCGTTCATGAAATGAAGCAAGAGAAGGACATTGCTTAGGTTGAAAACCCAGCACTACCAACTGGCCTACCGTCTTCACTCGAATAGAACACCCCGTCATTATCGGCTGCATCTGGACCGAAAGTTGTGCCAAAGAGAGTTATAGTGACCGGGGGTTTTATTTGGGTGAAGACGGTAGCTCAGTTGGTACACCACTCAACTATTGCACTGAATTGTTAAAATGCTGGCCTGAGTTCGAACTACGAAGGAAACAAAGAGGAGAAATTTTACAATTCTGAATTACCTGTCTTTCAGCCTTTTTCGCGCAGTATCGAGTGAGAGCGCAACGGCAGGCGAACCTGTATCAATCAGAGCATTGAACGGCTTTCCCCAGACCTCACAATCACAGTCGGCACTCTTCCACAACACAGGTAGAACACGGATGAAATGCTAGGGCAGGTAATAATGATACCTGAACCCAGTTGCCCTTTAAAAAAAAAAAAAAAAAAAAAAAAAAAAAAAAAAAAAATCAATGATGTGTGGGGAAAGGGTGCACCCATGACGACTAGACTAAGCACCCATGACGACTAGACTAAGTACTTTTGACGCATCCCTTGCAGAGCCTGCAAACGGCCTGCGCGCCAAACTTGAAAGAAAAGCAACCAGCGTGTGGGGCTACTTCTGGCTGGCAGCGCAGTCATTTTGGTCCAGTAGGCAGACCCACAAAACTTGCAGCTTTATGCACACTGTGTGGGAGAAAAATCTCTGGGAAACGTACTCAGTCTGCTGGTGGTTTAGAGTCTTTAGACCACCAGGCACTTCATTTTTTTTAATTATTATTTTTTTTTAACCAGGCACTTCTGATGGCAGCCATGATAGTTGTTTGAACTTGTTTCTTTTATTTTATTTTATTATTATTATTCTTATTTTTTTATCTCTCTCCCTTTTTCTTTTTTTTTTGTCTAAAAAAAAAATTGGACCATTTCTCGATTTATGCGTGTCATCCTTGCGCAGGGGCCATGCTAATCTTCTCTGTATCGTTCCAATTTTAACGGATGTCCCGAAGGACTGTTTCTTTTATTTTTGTGGTTGCGCTCGGTTATATAAACTTATATCGATCTGAAGGCTGCCGTTTACACTGCCACTGCCTTTCAGAGGCGAAATTCAATGCTAAGTAGTGAATATAACCTATACCGCATTCTTTGGAGGCCGGGCACCACGAGACCGAAATGGCTGGCGGCGCGGAAAAAAAAAAAAAGAAGAAAAAAAGGTCATGCTGGCGCTCTGGCAAAGCTTGGTGCGCAGTTATACTCCTGCCTCAGCTGGCAAATGAGGCTCACAGGTACTGGTGGTTTGAGCGGGCCGGGGGGGAACGAAGAACACCACATTTCAGCCAATCGAGCGCCGGCAGGCGGGCAGTCTGAAACTCGCAGACGGGGTGCATCTGTGGGTGTCCAGCT